ATGTGCATCCAGGACTGACAAACATTGTTCACGAGTAGCACAAGCAAGCTACAACTGGTGTGCTTCTTCTCGATAAAACGGCATGCAGTTAAATCGGAATCAGTAAGCTTTTCAAAACACATTGCCTAGTGTACGCTGTGTTTGTAAGACTATAATATTCCAGAGCAAATGACTCTATCGAAAACATAAACATCTCATCAAAATGTGCTCTCTTCCCCAGTCTTCACACTGTTTGCATTCGAATTTAAGGAGGCAGGCTACATGGGCTGTACACAAAATGAAAATGCACTTTTATCCTGCAAACACACAGGTTTTCTGCTACCCAAACGTAATATTTTACACATTTACTGTTGGGAACATTTCAAGGCGGTGCTGCACATTGCTTACAATAACCTACTTCCATTACTTTACGATTGGTCTTTATGAGGGGTGTAAATTGATATTAATAATTATTAATTGTGGCTAAATATATTACAAATATGACTGATAATTACTGCTAAATACAATCACGTGTATATATTTTCCCCACATCAAAAGGTCAGCTGTGATCAAAGGGGATTTAGCTATTGTTTAATATTAAAAATAAAATATTAATGACACTTAGTGTACAGTATACATGGGCTTGTAATATGTGCTGCAAATAGTAGATTTAAAATGAGGGATGTTTGCATGAATTGGAATAAAACACCTGACATAGAGAGGAAAGTTATATGGCCTCTAATGCATGAGGCAAAACAATGAGCCATGAACAACTTCAGCGGCATTATTCAGAGTGTGAGCTGTCTAGTCAGCATAAGGAGCTGGAGAGGTATGTCTGTAGTGTGTTCATTTTACAGTCACACACACAGCTTCCAAACCCTGCTGTAGGCGCTATTTATAAATAAGAAAGCTGCACATACTTATGGAAGACAGCATTAGCCGTGCATGCTGTACACACACAGACACACACACACACACACATGACACGCTCACACACACATACAGAGGCAGACATACAGGCTCACACATACACACAACCCCTCTGCTGCTCTAAAACCTATGCGTAATATGGGCCTGCTGGAACTAATGGCTTTGCCTGGTAATAGTACAGATGGACTGCAGAAAAGCAAAATAAAATGGTCAGCTAGCTGAGCCGCTTTGTTCAGGCGACCTGCGCTCACAAACATAGCTGCTGTCGCCGCACTGGCCTTTTACCCCTCTCTCTCATAGGCAGAACGGATTATCATTCATGCAAACATCCCTCAAAAACATGGATGGAGACTGCAGTATGCCCAGCCATATAGGCTGTGTGACCTTAATGCAACATGGCAGCACTGTTCGTCTGCTACTAGGATGCGTAATCATGAGTGGGCTTTAAAAATATATATATTCACCTTCCCGCCGCATTCCGACTTTTAAACACTTCTTCAGCCGGCAGTATTGGCACTGATTTCGGTGGTGCTGGTCAATGGGACAGTTCCTATTGGCACGACATGAGTATGTTAAGTTCCTCCGTACACTCCTCTTGAAGAAACTTTTGCATCCCTCGCAGGTGAACTGGCCGTAGTGTTTGCCGCTCGATTTGTCTCCGCAAACCACACATTCAATATGCTGCTGACTCTGTCCAGAATTTTGACTGCCCTTGTCCCCAGCGGTCACTGCCATATCTCGGCCCCGGAAAGTGCTATAAAGCGAAATGATCGCCGGTGTTTATGAAGCGCTGAGGAGAAAAAAAAGGAGATCTCAAAAGACGGGGCAGTGCAAAGTCAAATCGGAGCACGCAATCTCATATGGGTTAAGAAGGGGAATACAACGCGATCAACACATTCAGAATACAGGAGGGCGATTGAATAGGCACCCGATCAGGATATGCAAGTATCGGGAGGCCAGTTCCAAGGTAAATTGCAGTCAGCCATTCAGGAATCCCTAATCTTGTAGGAAAACCCGAGTCCAGACGTAATAAATTGCAGTTTGATATAAAATAGCCACAAAGGAAAGGCAGGAGCGATTCACATGGACGCAGGAACGAGTAAAAAAAACCTTTTGCAGGAAAGACACGCGATCCAAAGTGCTGCGGAGATAAATTCCTTTCTCTTTTCTTCCCCCTTGCTCCTTTACACTCCCGTCTTCGCCGTATAGGAGGGGAGGGAAAACTGAAGAGCTGGATTTTTACATCTATATTCTTAAATAAACCTCATCATCTCGCCAGGCAGCGAAAGAAAACCGCGTCGCCGAATGAAGTGCCCATGTATAGTTTCACCTCTCTCCAGCAGGAGGAATGGAGATACGAAGAGAAAAGGTAAAAAAAGAAGAAGAAAAACACCAACAACTAATAGAATATGCAAGAAGAAGGAGAGACCCAAAAATGAATGCGTTTAAACGGGAGGACCAGCAGAGCAATGTTTCCGAAACGGGGGATCTGCGCGAATGTCTGTATATAGTGAACTTTGACACTACTATTGAAACTGACACGTTTCTATGGAGATCGCTGCGCCTTATATGGTGCTCATGTCAAGGAGCCAAGAGAGGGGCTGCTGGAGACTGATAATCAAAGGCGACTGACTGGCCAGAGCCCTGCATAGAGGAGGAGGAGAGGAGGAGAGGGGGGACAGGGAGAGAGAGAAAATGGGAGGCTAAGGTTATAGCCAAGCCCTCTCTTTCTCTCCATTGGTTAGAGTCCCCCTCCGTTCATTCACTGCAAAAAATGTCCATCCCGATAAGTCATTGGGTCTTATGTTCAAATCTGTTTCTTTATTTATTTATTCGTAAACACTCAGGAGAAAAACTCCAAGTGCAATTTTCAGAAGTCACTTGTTTCCATTTATAGTCTGTGTCGATTGCAGAATTTTGGAAGTCGATATTTTGATATAAGGGGAGAGCACACAGGCAAGGTTCCTTTAAAAGTGAACGCTCTCGGTTTTAATACAGTTCACGGTGATGGGTCAACTGGCATTGGAAGCAGGTAGAATCATGTCGCTCCGATGGAAGATTCGTGTCTCCTGTTTTGGTAAATCCAAGATTTCCAGATTCAATACTGAACTGACTGGTGTCTGAGGATGGATATTTTTTGCAGTGTTTCCATCTACGACTGGAGGGGCTGGGGGGCTCTGACAAGCACAATTTACATTGAGCTCGCCCCGCGCTGCTATTTACTTTGAAACCTGATTAGTATGGGCCGTCTATTGTCACCAAAAAGAGGAAGAAACCCTGGATAGAATAGCAGAAAAAGCGGGGTAAAAGCACGGGGGGGACAAAGCTTTTACGCAGGACAAATAAACCAAAAACTCTGCTCAGCGTGAGAGAGAGACTCTGGTTTAGAAATTCCCCAAAGTTTCAAAATGGTCTGTCTTGGACTGGTATCTTTATTATAAAATTAACGGATGACATTATCGGTTTGAGGCGGATTTATATTTCTACACGCTGTTTTTTCTTTGGCTTACGCATTGCGGTACATCCTCGTCTGTAATCGACACAGTCTCGCTCATTAAAACTTGGAATTTAGTTTAAAAGAGCTAATAAAGGGAGGAAAATGTCAATGCTAGGACTGATGCATTACAGACCAGCGTGTCATACAAACGGGATGCCGCGCCAGCGACCGAAAATGTCTAAAATTAGACGGAGCAATAAAGCAATATCCAGTAATTACCGATGTCTTATAGTCTCCACAATCACTGAGCTGGTGTCACATTATGTCTTAATAATGACGGCAATTCAAAATCAAGGGAAGTTGCTGGAAATTTGCATGGGGATTCCGGCTTTTTTGTACCAGGGTTTTTGCATGCTCACTACCTCTCCAACTCAAAAATGTCTGGATCGCGCTGCCATCTAGTGTACGTCGTATCATTACAGCCTCATAATGCATGCACAAGCCACCAAACAGGAATTTTTTAAGCCTTAAATGTTGACTTTGAAAATAAAATAAACCACATTTTTGTATACTGTTTTGTGTTGCCCTTTCTTTTGTTCATTTTACTTTGTGTAAAGATACAGTGATGTTATAGCTGTATAACAGGAGAACAAAGTTTCAAAGACAAAAAAAAACAATAAATATAGGTTCAATTACAACAAAATTAAAATGTTCTCAAAAGTAAACTTGTCTTTTGATTGCATGGGATTTAAATAAAATATAAAGTCAAGTGTGCGTAAATTACCTCAGAAAACATAAAACAAAAAATAACTTTTCATAATACTCATGATTAAATTACTGTTTAATAAAATTAAACTAAGTTGTTTTATACAGATGCTTAATCACACAGAGATATTAGCATATAATGGAGGGTAAATATGCAAGTGCCCCCTTTGGAAACGCATAGGAGGGATGGGTTGTTTTTTAAGTATTCAACAAGAGAGCTCTCTCACACGTCCCTGTCTCGGACACTCCACTGAAACTCCCCGGCCATGTCTCCAGCTCTTTGAAAAGGTGAAACCAATAAGATTAAATCGGACAAAGATTTTTTTTTTTCCTCTAAGTGTATCATTAAGATTTAACTCCACAGTTTGGAAAGGGGCTCCGCACGAGAAGAGCAGATGAGAGTGAGAGGGACAGCGAATGGGAGCAGGGTAGAGGCACTAAAAGAAAGCTGGGAAACGGCGAGAGAAAAAGGGAGAAAGTGCACGGCAGGACATTAAAAGAAGAAGCACCAGCGACGGCGGCTACCAGTAGAGGAGCAGCTTTCCACCTGGACAAAACAAGTCACCGATAAGGCAAGTGCACTGCTTATTTCTCACTTCTCCTGTGCTACAGCCGAGTGGCTCTAAACGCAAGGCTAAATTCTCTGTGTCACGCCACATGACCGTTAACTTGAACCCATGTCGCCGACGCGGGCACAGTCAGTCATAACTTTTTACTGTAACTAGCGGACACTCGCATCTTTTCCCCCTCATGATCACCGGTTATCGTCCCTCGTTTGCCCGTTGTCCCCCCGTCCTCGCTGATTTGTGCATCAGATAGTGATGTTATTACCGGCTGGTTGTTGTGCCGCTGGACTTTTTTTGCTTGCCCCGTGCACCTCACATGAAAGGCTATTTGTTGTTTGAACATATAATGAAAAGATCGATAGCAGGCTGTTTGTCTCAGCGATAGTGTCACCGGATTAAAAGGCTGATCAAGAAGCGCAGCCGTTGTCCATCTTTTAAGCTCCAAAGTGCCAGTTTAGCCACTGAACTGTCCATCGCAAGTACTAACCTATATTCGCGCAAAACGTTATGCACCGCAAAGTACATTGCGTGTCAGAAAAGGCTGCAGGGAGGAAATGTAAGATGGCATGCAATGTGATTTATCAAAGCAGCATTATTGATGTAAAGGGGCTGTAATGACAACTGATATAAATGATGTGGAAATCTAGGACAGATGAACTTATTCCAGAGCAAACGACACGTCAAACAGCTTTGTAAAATAACCAAACCTTACACAGGCCAATAACCTTTAACCTTTAGCTTAATTCTAGCGTCCTTACTAATTGCTAATAATAATTTTATGAGAGTCAAATACTATTTGTCTTTCTGCCTTTTCTTACTTAAACAGCTACATGACTCTATAATCTAGTAATTTATTGAAAACAAATGATTACATGATCTCATTATTATTATTAGACAAGTCTTTTATGTAATGGATGCATTTGCACGTTATTCAGTAGTAGCCTAACGCTTTGACTTGGAATTGAAAACCAGTGATTAATCCGACTGTGTTTTCTGTCAGAATAGAATAACCCAGGTTAACTATGACAAAATGCCCCTGTGTGAAAGTTTTATCAAAGGAAATTACTGGTTGAATATTTATGACGTCCATAACAGTTTTGCCAAAATGACAAAAATGCATTTTAAAACATTCACAACGATGCAAAGGGATGTGGAGCTTTCTAAACGGTTGACGGTGTGTTTGTTATTGGTTGTGTGCACTCACTTCATGGCTATAACCACAGCATATAGGCAGTAAGACACTGAATGGGCTTAGAAGGCGACTCTCTTGTCCAGGGGGCCTCTGCTCCAAACACGTCCTGTGTACACACCAGTGTTCCTGGACGTCAGGCTGGAGGGTCATAAAGTCGATACCGGTCCTCACAACATCAACATATACCTGCCGAATTAAAAACGATTCAGCAGCCAAACCAAGAAATCGATGGACACCTTTATGTGTGGAAGAATGAGCACTGTTACGCATTCCCATGTTGGGTCCTGGCTGTTTAGCTGAATAATGGACGCTGATAAATAGTCAGATGTGTACATGCGGCAGTAAGATGCAGCTCCAAACGTCCAAAATATCTTTACACTTGTTGGACTGTGCTTGTGTGTATGTAAGAGCTATTTTCATTAATTATGTAATTATTTACCATCTATCGATTGAAGACATGCGCTGCTGAAAATGCCAGTGCACGGTTTTTACCTGTTATTTAGTGTAGATGGTAATATACAGATCATTTTAATACATTTTCTGGCCATCTAAGGTCACATTTGACATTCAAAATAGATGTATACTATCTTTCAGCATATGTATCATATTGACCATAAGTTAAGATAATACATATGTTTAGTCCCTTATCTACCTCTCAACAATACATTTTGACTATAATTTGCTTTTGTAAGTGATCTACATCTAAGCAGTAACCCCGCAGTGGCATATTGATTAATGCTGGAATAATTGGGCAAAAGGAATTTCTTTTGTTTTA